CATTTGGAAACAAAGATGAAGTTCTCAAGGTGAATGCATACCTTGACTCTAGGGGTCTAACAACTAAAAATAAAGTCAGGAATCTTGGTGTGATTCTGGAGACAGACCTTAGTTTCAGTAGTCATGTCAAAGCAGTAACTAAATCAGCATACTATCATCTCAAAAACATTGCAAGAATTAGATGTTTTGTTTCCAGTCAAGACTTGGAGAAACTTGTTCATGCCTTTATCACTAGCAGGGTGGACTATTGTAATGGTCTCCTCACCGGCCTTCCCAAGAAGACCATTAGACAGCTGCAGCTCATCCAGAACGCTGCTGCCAGAATTCTGACTAGAACCAGAAAATCTGAGCATATTACACCAGTCCTCAGGTCCTTACACTGGCTTCCAGTTATATTTAGGATTGATTTTAAAGTACTTTTACTCGTTTATAAATCACTCAATGGCCTAGGACCTAAATACATAGCAGATATGTTCACTGAATATAAACCTAACAGACCACTCAGATCATTAGGATCAAGTCAGTTAGAAATACCAAGGGTTCACACAAAACAAGGGGAGTCTGCTTTTAGTTATTATGCCGCCCGCAGTTGGAATCAGCTTCCAGAAGAGATCAGATGTGCTAAAACATTAGTCACATTTAAATGCAGACTCAAAACTCATCTGTTTAGCTGTGCATTCATTGAATGAGCACTGTGCGATGTCCTCCTTTTATAGGCAAGATTATTGAAAAGGTAGTCTTTAATCAGCTGAACAAATACTTAAACTCAAATGGATACCTGGACAATTTTCAATCTGGTTTCCGACCGCATCACAGCACAGAGACAGCACTCATTAAGATAATAAATGATATTCGCTTAATTTCTGATTCTTCAATGCTGGCAATGCTGGCACTACTAGATCTCAGTGCTGTGTTTGACACTGTCGATCATAACATACTTCTAGAAAACTGGGCCACTGCGTGGTATGGCTCGGCACGGCTCAGTACGGCACGGCTCGGCTTGGCTCGGTTTGCGTTTCCACTGCAGTTTAGTACCGCTTTAGAGTGGACGGGATTATTCACATGTCGTTATGGTTGCGCCTCCTCTACTGCCGCGACTCCTGAAAAACTTTTTCATTCCACGTCGCCCCATCAAGCTCTCGCTGGACCCGCTCCTTGGCTATCAACGAGAGGAACGTATATACTTCCTCAACAGACAACGAAACAGCCATTTTTTTGGTTGTTAAAAAAGGTACGCTCTTTCAAAACAGTTGCGTTCAATCCTTGGCTGGCTGTGCTGATTTAAATTTAGCGGTTCTGTTCTGTCTCTTGTCGCAAGTTCAGTGACGCAGGTAGTGACGATTCTCTCCAGCCAATCAGTGATCGACAGAGTTTACACGTCACGTTTTGGTAATGGTACGGTTTGCTTGGAACCTCAACCGAGGTGGGACTGAAAAAAGTACCAGGTACCAGGTACTGTACCCAGTGGAAAACCCTCCAAAAGTTAACCGTACCGTGCTGTACCATGCAGTGGAAAAGCGCCATAAGTGGACGTCCATGACATGTGGAGTCCCACAAGGCTCAATTCTTGCACTGCTCTTGTTTAGCCTGTATATGCTCCCACTAAGTCAAATAATGAGTAAGAACCAAATTGCCTATCACAGCTATGCTGATGATACACAGATTTACCTAGCCTTATCGCTAAATGACTACAGCCCCATTTACTCCCTCTGCCAATGCATTGATGAAATTAACAGTTGGATGTTCCAGAACTATCTTCAGTTAAACAAAGAGAAAACTGAAGTCATTGCATTTGGAAACAGAGATGAAGTTCTCAAGATGAAGTGAATGCATACCTTGACTCTAGGGGTCAAACAACTAAAAATAAAGTCAGGAATCTTGGTGTGATTCTGGAGACAGACCTTAGTTTCAGTAGTCATGTCAAAGCAGTAACTAAATCAGCATACTATCATCTAAAAAACATTGCAAGAATTAGATGTTTTGTATCCAGTCAAGACTTGGAGAAACTTGTTCATGCCTTTATCACCAGCAGGGTGGACTATTGTAATGGTCTCCTCACCGACCTTCCCAAGAAGACCATTAGACAGCTGCAGCTCATCCAGAACGCTGCTGCCAGAATTCTGACAAGAACCAGAAAATCTGAGCATATCACACCAGTCCTCAGGTCCTTACACTGGCCTCCAGTTATATTTAGGATTGATTTTAAAGTACTTTTACTAGTTTATAAATCACTCAATGGCCTAGGACCTAAATACATAGCAGATATGTTCACTGAATATAAACCTAACAGACCACTCAGATCATTAGGATCAAGTCAGTTAGAAATACCAAGGGTTCACACAAAACAAGGGGAGTCTGCTTTTAGTTATTATGCCGCCCGCAGTTGGAATCAGCTTCCAGAAGAGATCAGATGTGCTAAAACATTAGTCACATTTAAATGCAGACTCAAAACTCATCTGTTTAGCTGTGCATTCATTGAATGAGCACTGTGCGATGTCCGAACTGATTGCACTATATTCTATGTATAATCGTTTTCTTAAATTCATTTTAAACTTCTTAAATCAATTGTTTTAATCATTTTCAATGTTTTTAAATTCCTTGTTTTATTGTTGTGATTATTTTTTTTCTTTTCTTTTATGTAAAGCACTTTGAATTGCCATTGTGTATGAAATGTGCTATATAAATTAACTTTCCTTGCCTTGCCTTGCCTTGATCAGACCAATCACAGCACATTTCGTATTTCAGAAGGCGGGCCTTCATTTGATTCAGGAACTATTCGAGCCGTTCATGCCAGACTGGGGAGAGAGGTGTTGTAATAATGTAAAATATGTGAAAAAATAATGTGTTTTTCGAACAACCTTGTATGATAGCCTGTTCTAGTACACCCCCAAAAGAAAATCAAGACTTTGTAAAAGAGCATAATAGGACCCCTTTAACTAAAACTATTAAAAAGTTTTGGTAATCAAAGTAAAACTGAAATATAATATAATAAAATATAAATATTAGACAAAAAATGTTGTTACCTAAAATAAACTAAAATTGCTAACTGAAAACTAAAACTGATATAAAACTAAAACTGAAATAAAAATTTATTTAAAAATTTACAATAAAAACTATTTAGTAATATTTAAAAACACAACTAATAAAAATTTAAAAATGACAAAAGCATATAAAATTACAAAAAAAATGAACATTAAAATGAACACTAAAAATATAAACATAAAAGATAATTCAAAATATTAATAAAACTATAACAGTATATATACAATACTAAAATAACACTGGCATAAATGATATTACGGTGCCTTAGAAGGCAATCAAAATGCTCTGTTGAGTAACTGGTCAACTGGGCAGCGAGACAGCAAAATTGCCTTCAGTTTGACTTCCACTGAAAGAACACTCTGGGCCCAGGTCTACCCATTTTAATTCAATTATCAAGCATAATCATTATTCATGAATCATTAATCTCCTGCAACTGCCCACAGCTATAGGACGGTCCAGGGAGCATGATGGGAAAGTAAACCTCAGTACTGTCATTCAAAGGAATGAAGCACAACTATATACAGTACATACTGTAAAGTACTAGATGCTGTCGTGTGTTTCTGGTCTTGGAGGAAACAGCGCCATCGTTTGTATCCCTTTCGGCAAACATGTCCACAGTGACTTTGAATTAAAAGTGCCTGCTTTAATTTGTGGTGTACAATAAACAGATTACAGCAGTAGTGATTTCATTCCTCAAACCACTGAACCGCTTAATCTGTCTTGTGAAAAAGAGCTTCACTTGAACACCATCACACGCTTTTTACTGGGCTACTTTAAACCCACATCTTTTTTCCCCACCTTTTCTCTCCATCTAAAACCGTTGAGGTCACCTTGAGTCTGTTTCTATTTGAAAGTCATACAGTTGTTTACAGGATTTTGTTTGGGAAGGATTTTTGCCATTTGGATGTTTAACTAGAGTCCCTGTACTTATTTTCCCTTGCTTTATTTTGTTTTTTTCATTTTGCTTTCTTCTCTCTCTCTCTTTTGCTCTTTCTTTTTGCTTTATCTGGGGAAAAAAAAACAATTTTGCCAAGGTTTGCACATCTGTATGGAGGAGAAGTTTGGATAAAATCTACTTACACACATATGCAAGCACACACACTCATGCAAGCGCACACAGACCGTATGAGAGTATGCTGGAGGGCAATTTCAGCAGATCCAGCCAGCGTCAGCCCATATTTAAATATAGATTCCTGAGCAATCAGAATCCAGTAAAACCATATACCATATCAAGAGAAGTGTGAAATATTGTATAGTTTAAAAGTTCAAGCTCAAATCTGCTCTGACTTTCGGCAACTAGCGTCAACTTGTCCAGACGGTAAATCGAAGGAAAATCGAAAATGTATTCCAGCCTTTAGACCAACTAAAACCCAACTTTTAAAGTGCATGTAAACAAACTTATTGAAAGTGCTAATGACACTTCTGCTTCGTGGTGGCAGCCGCAGCACTAAATGTGTGTTTGTTGAGTGTGTGGCCCACCTACTGGCAACTTGCTGCGCTCTGGGATCTATTTTAAAGTCTATTCACATTTTATATATGTATAAGGTACTGCTAGGGAAGAAAGTGTAAGTATAGCAGGTCTTTTGTGCAGCAGAGGTCCTGTGTATTGACCAAGAGGTATCTGGGAGAGCAAGTTCTGACCTGCCATAGCAGAGCACATGCGCCAGACTGTTTGAGATGGCATTGAGCGCTTGAGAACAGCTTTTCCAAGTCTGTGTAATTCATTCGTGCCCCCTTTTTTAGATTTGTATACTTGTCATAAACTTGTATCACTCCCAGTATTCACTCAATTGATTCTTTGAACGGTGTTCGGCGGCGCTCTGACTGCCTGGTTAATATGTATGCTGTGGGTTCAACCAGGCATGGTTAGAAAAAGACGGATGTTGCATAGCGTATGAGTGGGTAATTGGAAAACAAGTGTGGGTTTTTGTGTGTGTGTGTGTGTGTATGTGACTAACCGTCTGTTTGATATCAGGAATGCCAATTCGAAAGACCATCATAGCTATGTGTGTGTCGTCAGGTGCGTTGCTTGAGCTTCGCTCTCGTAGCTTCCGCTGCTGTTGCGGCTGCTGCTGATTAGCCGGCGCTTGGTGGGCGGGTCCAGGGTTGGACGAATACGGGTTGGCCGTGTGGCCCGGGTTGCCGGGTCGTAGCGGTCTGTCTCCTGGAAGTCGTCCAGCCATTGTGCCTTTTTGCCTGTGCCCCTCTTCCCTGCCTCCTCTCAAACGCCCTGGTCCTCGCCTGATGTCATCTTCGTCGTCCACGTCCTCTTCATCATCCAACTCCAGCTCTCCGTTCTCCTCCTCGCCCATGCCGTCATCATCCATTTCCTCTTCCTCCTCCTCCTCCTCTTCTTCTTCCTCTTCCGCCCCTGGATAAAGGTGTTGACTGTTTCCCAGCATCCTTTGCTGCTCCTCGTCGCTGGAGAGGGGGCTGAGCGGCATCGTCATGGCGACAGGGAGAGTGGCACCAGCGGCAACGGCATCATCCCCAGAGACACACTGTGAAAAGAGAAGAGGAGTTGTAAGCATGAGAAATAGCGCGAGGTGGAGGATGAGAGGAGGAAAGAGCAGACTGAGAGAACAGAAGTAGGAGTTCGAGAGAATATAAAAGAACAAACAATCCCACATCGCTCCATCACTCAGCAGCTCACACCAAGTCGCAGCAGGCCGTTCATGCAAGACATGTTCGTGCATTTGTGCCGTTTTTAAATGCACACTAGAGCGACGTCTTTGACAGTCGCGACGTGTCTCGCTGGTTTTCAAGAGTCTCGCGCCACAAGCATTACGTTTGAGACTCAGTGGAATGGAAATGAATCAAAATGAACTTCTCTTAACTTGACACAGTGTCTCGAAAACATGGCGCTCATAGCATCGGACTTCAGTGAGGCATGTCGCAGTGGTTAAATACGTCCACTAAGTGCATGTTTACAAAGAAAAACACAAAAAATTCTGTGTGAAGTCACTTAAAGGAATTGTTCTCCCCAAAATAAAAAATTCTGTTATCACCATCATTATCATCATCATCATCCTGTGCGCCACCTTTACAGTTCAGTCCAGCTAAAAAAATATACTTTAAGTAACACATTTAAAACACTGGCATTAATTATATAGAAAATAATGCTAAAAACTTTATATTTCTGATTTAATGGCTTAAATATTGTATTACTTTTTTACAATTATCTTTGCAATTTATTAAAAATAAAAAACTACACTTCGAGTGAAGTTAACCTGTGGCAAATTCAATTGAATGGGTATGATTTGAAAAGGCACCCACATCTTAATAAAAAGTCTAACAGCTGAAAATGCATATCAGAGCAAAAACAAAGCCCTGAGGTAAAAAAAAAAACTGCCTGTAGAGCTCAGAGAGCTTGTTTCAAGCCAGTTTCAAGCATCTTGTTTGAAGGAAACCAGCTCTGTTCATCACCTGCAGAGTACCATCCCAAAAGTAAAGTGTGCTGGTAGCAGCCTCATGCTGTGGGGCTGTTTTTCAGCGGCAGGGACTGAGGGACTCGACAGAGTAGAAGAAAATCTCAATGCCCCAAAATATTGAGATAGCCTTAATGAAAACCTAGTCCAGAGCATTCAAAACCTCAGACTGGGCAGAAGGTTCACCTTCCAACAGGACAATGAACCTAAACACAGCAAGAGTGGCCTATAAACAACTCTGTGAATGTCCTTGAGTGGTCTAGCCAGAGCCTGGGCTTGAACGCAATCAAACATTTCTGGAGAAACCTGAAAATGTGTGTCTGCCCCAGTGCCCCCCTCCAACCTGACAGAGCTTGAGAGGTGAAGAGAAGAATGGTAGATAATTGCCAAATACTGATGAGCAAAGCTTGTCACATCATAACCAAAAAGACTTAAGGCTGTTAAGGTGCTTCAGCTAAGTACTGCGTTACGCACTATCATGACGCACTATCATTATACTGAATTCACCAAACCGGATATTCATTAAATTATCTTATTTTGTGTTCAGATGAAAAACAGTCATACAGTATTTACATTTTTGACGAACTATTCCTTTAAGAACAGATCAAATTGTCAAGGCATCAGCATTATGCTCCAATTCCACTGCACACGTCTAGCTAGTTATGAATGCAAGAACAGTCTCCGTGGGAATGGCCCCTCGGCAAGAAGCCAATTCTCATTCACAGATTACCACCTACCCCTCATGTCCCACTTGCCCTTATGCAAAACAACCACACGCCTTACTATGACGAGAGTGAACTGTCAATGTACAGACACTCATGCACTGCTTGTATTACAGTAGAAAGAAGACGTTTGGCTTCTACCGGCTCTGTCTCTACAAACACAAACTCGTGCACCTCTTGTATTACAGCACAGACGGACTCTTGCCACCGCCCCTGTTCGCACGCATGCCGCAAACAGCACTCAACACAGTTGTAACTTCTCATATGTCCCAGATCAGTAACAAAACCACTGTAGCCCAGCACTCTAAGGCACTGAGTGTCTCTCCTTCAAATAGACCTCTTCAAAATAGGATTACTGTGTTTAGCAGTGGGAACAAAATACTTCTCTGTAGTTCCACTCACAGCCAGCTGCTGTGTGGTTCAGATGCTGCACCCACACTTTAGATGTGGAGGATATCTTATGACAATGTGTCTTGTTCTGGTGCCAATCAGCTGTCGTATATCCGAAAGTGTTCACTTATTACCCATAAAATCAAATCTCTCACTCCATACACAGAACCCTAGAGCAGGGGTTTTCAAACTTTTTGATGCCAAAACCACTCATATGATTATCCCTGATGTGATGTGATATGATATGAAGCAATTTTTATTAAAAAAAAATATTTTTCCAGATAGCATTTCAACAAATCTGCATACAGTTTTGTGGAAGAAAAAACACAGATTTTCTTGTTTTCTTGTTAAAGAAAAACAATACAATAATTGCAATTATCTCGTTATGTAATGTCTTGAGAAAGCAGAATAAAATTGTGAATTGCTATTTTAGTGATCAAATTGACTGAATATGAAAGTAAAAATACAAAATCATTTCATTTAACACATTTCATTATTATCTATATTGCACGTTAACTTTCACAGCCACAAAAGTACATTCTGCCATTTTTTTCTCTCTAAAATTTTTCACGGACCCCCAGGATGCCCTTGTGGCACCCTGGGCTCCCCAGAACCAGCTTGAAAACCTCTGCCATAGAGATACTACTCTAATACCTGAGATCACTAGTGACAATTCTTCTATTTTGCATCTTTCTACTTTAATATAATTACCAGCAATTATCAACCAGTTTCTTTTTTTATTTCTCATTTATGCCATATATTGTACCGCAGATTCCCAATTGCCCATGTCTGCCATCACCTTAACTGAGTTTTCATTAGAAACACTGTGTTTGACCTTGGCGAGATAGAAAGCAACTGAAGCACTGAACAAGACATCATTGCCTGCCCGCCACCAGGGTTATTGACTCTGTACTGGAGGGCAGCTGGTGTTAATGTCTCTGCAGACACTTAATTCAGAAGCAGTTCCTGAGGGTACTGCAACATAATTCCTTTGTTTCACATGCCCATATCCTCAGCACAGAAGCAAACTATTCAAAACAATAGGAAAATAGCCCTAGAACATCTTAGCTGCATGAAGAATTTCAGTCATTCAATTAAAAAACACCGTGTAAAATACACAGAGAGCGGCGCTATCAAAGTTGACAATGTGCCAAATACAATTACACCCAATTTGCATCTTCAGCAAAGCACACAAATCATAATAGCTGTGAGCCTGTGGATTTGTTGTGAAGTGCCCCACAGAGAGTCAGGGAGACAGCTAGGCTTCCTGAAAGAGTATCTTAGTACTGGCTTAAGGACTTCCCTTCAAGTTCAGTGCAATATTCTGACCCTCAGGTTGTTGATCATCAGTCATTTAAAGCTTAAATGTGTTTATGAACAGTGAAGTCAACTCTGTGTGTGCACTGCAATTACAACACAGATTGCCTTTTATTTTCTCAGAGGTTCATGTGTGCTTATGCATGAGCATGATTCAATTTGCTGAGCGTGAATGAGTTTTATGCTATTTATATAGTCTGAAAAGGCACTTGCAATGCAAAGTGGCAGTATCTGAAGCAGTGTATACCTTTTAGTCGATGTTAAGACCAACAGCAGCACGCTTGCGTGATATTTTTTTACACTAGTATCCGCCTTATTTTTCAACGCGGAAGTAAGTTAAGCTGTTTTTGGTGAATGTGTGAGACTTCCGGTTCATTAACTGCTGTAGGGAAGTAACGAGAAGAATAACAGGGTCCAGTTAACGGTAAAACTGTTTGCACTACAAACCAGTGTGTTCATAATTAAGATAATACATTAAA